TGCTTGTGGCCTGAGAAAACAGAGAATAGTCCAAAGCCTTGGGAGTCTGCACGCACATGGGAGACCTGGAAGAAGCTCCTGGCTTTGGGTAGGCTCAGCTCTGGCCATTGCAGCCATTTGGGGAGTGAATCAGTGGATGGAAGATCTTTATCTCCTTACCTTTGTAAACCTGCCTTTTCAATAAAAATAGATAAATCTTTGAGAAAAAACAAAAGATGCAGATTGCTGCATAAGGCACTTACTTCAGTGTGTGCATCTTCAGGAAAATGGATTAATGACATAAAGGAATGTGTTTTGTTATACAGTCTGTGGCATATAATCCAGAAAAGTACACAGTCTTTATTAGACTCACAAAGAGGCTTATAATGTTTGGTGATCTAGTAAAGTATCCAGGGAGGAGGAGGAGGGAGAAGGAAGATGATGCAGAAAAAAGGGGAGAGATGGAGACAGAAGGAATTGAGGCGTACACATGTTCCACTAAAAATTGAAGAATGCTACAGATAAAAGCAAACGTGACAAGCAAAGAGAAGTGATGGCAGTTTATACAGGAGCAGCAATTTGCATAGGACAAGAAGTGGCCATGGCTACATGAGGCAGAAGCCAGCAGTCTGAAACTCTACCCAAGACTCCCATGTGGGTGGCAGAGCATTGAGTACTTGCGCCATCTTCTACTTCTTTCCCAGGTAAAATATCAGAGAACTGGATTGTAAGCAGAGCAGCCCGTATTGAAACTGGTGCTCAAATAGCATTTCCCACAGGAGTGAGCCAGGCTTTGGAAGGTCTCTCTCTCTCTCTCTCTCCCCTCTCCCCATCTCTTTCTTTCTTGGTGTGTAATTCTTGGGATCATCTGGATAATGAATCATCAGATGGAAGACCGCTCTGTACAAAACTAGAAGATTTGTATGTGTAGGTGGATATTCTTCATTTATCACAAATTCAGGATTCTTACATTAAAGCAAATTAAACTTCACAAGTATAAAAAAGCAGCTAAATTTGTATTTAAATAAGTTTTATTGAGTTTCCCAAATTTCTCATCTGTATAAATAGAAATAGCTAATAAATCAATGTATGTCATTATCAAGGCCATCTAGTAGACAGAAAAAGGTCAAATGCAGAAAGCACAGTTCACGAAATACATAATTATCCTGAAGTCAAAACAGGGCTGACTAGCATTTTCAATAAACACGTAAAAATATTTTGTATATTTTAATTAGTTTTCCTATAAGAATTAAACAAGCTGTCATTCTAGAGTTACATAATTCATCATGGTTTTGGGTGTTATAATTGCTGCATTCCTATTGCTTCTGAATTTTGACTTTCTTAACAGTGCTTTTTTTTGTTTTGTTTTTATTTTATTTCAAAATGGATTGTCCTTCTAGATTTTCTGGTAACTCCCTAAGATACATGATAGTGTTAAGCTCCCTAAGAAGAAACATCCTGAAACTCGGGTGTGGTGTAGCATTCCATAAGGGAACTGGTTTGAGTCCTGGGTGCTCCACTCTGGATCCGGCTGCTTGTTACTGCTCTTGGAAAAGCAGTGGAAGAAGGCCCAAGTACCTGGGCCCATGCCACTCCTGTGGGAAATCCAGATATTAGCCACCTAACTTGAACATGCAGGAGGTAGTATTCTCAGAAACTCTGATGGGAAGAGTAGCTAGGAGTCTAAATTGCAGAAAAGAGATTTCAGGGGAAGATGGGGTTGACACAATGCCAAAGAGAAAGAGACTTGATAAACAGGTGAAGGTTTTAACAGATTCCAGAAAACTGGTTTAGAAATAAAAGTTATAGCTCAAGACTAGAGGAAAAAAAACAGTTTGCAAAGTTTGCAATGACCCATTGATAGGATAAAAGTGAGCTACTCATCCTTAGTCTGCCTGCCAAAAGAAACATTACCCTTAGAAGAAAAGGCACGAATGGTCTTTCATAAAAAATGTGTAAACAAAATTATGATACCAATTTTTTCTTAATGTTCCATTATTAACATACAGCATGATTAGCATAAAGTCTTTGTTTTTGTTTTCTCACATCATTAGTGAAAGAAAACAATTCTTCCAGTTTCCTTAGGACCGGTGGCATTCAGAGAAGGTTTTGAAACTGCTATCATAAGAATAAATAAGCTGGGTCAGTTCTGTCTCCAGCCCCTTGTTTTATACAACCCAGTGGGTACTGGAGTATTGGTCAATTACCCCAGCCAAATGTTGGCAGTGAGTAGCTGGGCAGATGGGACTATAACAGCCAGTGGATTCTGGAGAGATTTCATTGCTATTGGAGTGATGGGATCGACAGCAATTCAGAACTGTTGAACTATTAAACCCTCTTGAACTTCATGGAATTGTAAATTTCTATTTTTGTTCATGTTGTTGATTTTGTATTGTGGCTTTTCATTTAAGTGTATGTATAGTAACTGTGTAATGGAGACTATCCAGATGTGAGGATACAATGCAGTATGCATCTCTACTTTCAAATCAAAGATGGACTCCCAAAGAAACTATTAACTATATCTGGACAATAGGATGCTGGACTCTCTACCATTGTGCATGCCTGAAACGATGGACATATGACTGTTCAGGAAGAACTATAGTAATAATATGGAACTCAGTGGGGTGAGGGTCAGGGAAATTCTAAGGCCTATGGAACTGGATCATAAAATGATAATACTACAAAAAAAGTCTAAAACTATATAAATCTTTAAAAAGTGAATGAGAGATAAATAGATGATAGATATTGATAGAGATAAAACAATTTTTATCAAAGAATTCTTGAATAATGCAAAATGCATACATGATTTTGTATACATGAATCAAAACATCACATAGTACCACACTAAAAATAAGAGAAAATTTCTAAAAGAGTAGATTTTAAATGTTCTTACCAGAGATCTCTAAGTATGTGAGGAAAGCAAGTGCTAAATAACTTGATTTTAAAACCATTGCATACATCGCAACTCATCTTTAAAAGATAAAGATTTTTAAAACCCGAGTATTAGATAAAAGAAGCCAGAGATTGAGATTGAATATTTCTCACGTTTCCATGCTGAGTAATAGTGGCTATTTTCTGTCTTTTCCCATTTCTTCTGCTTGATTGCTCCTATCCACTAAGTCCTCTTCTATCCTGAAATATAGTCATTTTGTGCTGCCATGGAGAGCACAAAATACACCTGTGGTTTAAAAACCCAATCTACTGAATAAAAGACCTGAAAGTGATTTTAAGAGGCAACCTATTTACCAAAAGGAGCACGGGCTTTGAACTCTGTGACCTAGTCAGCTGCTTGTATGCATCATCTCCCCTCCCACCCTGCTTCTCTCCATCCCAACTGGAACCAGAGGCTTACAACGGTCTGCAATCACTTTTGTCACAAATATTTAAAAAATGGTTTGTAGTAATACTTTAGATGTTTTATGTTGGTGGAGTATGGAGGACGCAATAGGTAGCCAATAAATGGTGGTAACTTCTTTGTTATTTGTCACCAACAGAGAAAGCCACAAGCAAAACTGGTGCTACTGAGCTTCACAATGAGATCTGGCTCACGTTTTAATGTGGCTGAATATCCTCAGGGATGAAATAATGTACAATTTGATTCTTGAATATTTTGAAGTGGAAAATCTGAATGACTAACAAAAATACCTTGTACATTATACACAAGTCAAACCCATAGCTGCTCAAATCCCTAAATCAGAGGCAGCAGTTAAGATACCCACAGCACATACAGATTACTTTGGTTCCAATCTTGCCTTTGTTTTCAACCGCAGCTTCTTGCAGGTGGTGGCTCAAGCACTTGCTTGGGTCCTGGTCATTCCCATGGGACACGGGGATTGAGAGCAGGGCTCCCGACTCCAGCCTGTGATCACTCCAGGAGTGAATCAGCAGCTGGGTGATCTGTTTCTGTGTTTGTCGACCTTACGCTCTTAATTTCAAATGAGAATAAATACAATTTCTTCTTAAAAATTCCCCCAAAAATCAATGGTTGAAAATACCTGGGACAAAGCACGAAGTAGCAGATCAAAGCTTTGACTGTTCTACAGTGACGTGCACAGCTTGGCCTGGCTTTCAGTAATCAGTCTCATTAAACTATCCATTTCTCTGATACATCTAATGAAGTTGTGTTCACGATCAGCTTAATCACAGGATGCAGTATAGAACATATTTTAACAGGAAAGCTGTTTATAACAATTGAAACAAGTAGCAAATATATAATTTCGTAAAGTGTTCATTATGCATTCAGTATGACAATCCTTGGCTTGAACACTTCTATGCACATTTAGTCATTATTTGATAGATTGCTTTGTGTACTGTTTGGTTAAAAATAATCATTTTGTTAAAGTCCATGCTAAGAAATTGGGTAAGTTCTCAGTTGCAAACTCTGAATTATATACTTTATCTGCAAATCATTACATTTTAGAGCAATAACACATCTCTAGGCAAATCATTAAAATCAGCTCTAGTTATAATCATCAAAATAGGCAGGGGGTAACTAAATTACATAAAGTCATCCATAAGTAATATTTTTTCCTAGGTTTGGCTTCTAGTTAATTATGTCATTACTCTATTGGTAGCTGAATAATCATACCTTAGATGAGCATATTCATAGACTTTATATTTATTTTCGTTCTTTATTTGGATGACAGAGAAGGACAGAGATGATCCTTCCATAGGGTTATTCTGCAAATGTCTGCAAAATCCAACAACAGGAAAAGCTACGGTAGGACCAAGGAACTCCATCTAGGTCTCACGTAGGTGGCAGGCACCCAAGTCCTAAGCCGTTACCTGTTGCCTCTCAGTGTGTGTATTGGCAGGACGTTGGATTGAAACACAGTAGCTGAGACTTAAATCAGGGGGGCTAGGATATAGGATGAAGGCTTTCCCAGCAGCATCTTAACTTGCATTAGGAATGCCCATCTCCAAGAAGTGTGAAGTGAAATCACGCTATATGCATTTACTGTTAAGATCATCTGCAGCGTCTGTGTTCTCAGGTCTCCACACTAATTAGAAATGACACTTACATCACTCTCATGACCTTCCCGGAGGTTATACGTGAGGTCGTGCTGGATGTCTTCCACGAATTTGTGAGCGTATTCTGGATAAAGGTCGAGCACTTCAAAGAGCCCTTTGAGGATGATGCACTGAAGATCACAGTAGGTTAACGCTTTTACATCTGCGTTGGTCTTGATCACTTGGTCCTTAATTGATAAATTGGCTCCAATTAAGTCCCCCTTCCCTAGAAACAGCATAAAAGGACAGAGCATTTTAAAGAAAACCAAGCTTGAGATTGGTAACTTCCTTGGGCTTAAGGTCTTCATTTTCCTGAGGTTACTTTGAAAAGACATAAAGAACCGCTATTTTGTGGGGAGGTTTTCAACTTTGGCAGTAGTGAAATGTGGGGTTCAGCAGTTTCCTTCAGGAAGGTGGCTGAATGGATTGTCAGTACAAAGAGTGTAGTAGCATCTTGTTTTCCTTCTCCCAGTTGAGGCAACCCGCAGCATCTTCAGAGGTGATCACGGATCCCTTCGACACTGACCCTGGTCAAGAGCATTCACGGAGAGGACCAGGCCAGGAGCCCCAAGGGCTAGGAGTAGAGGTGGTCTCCAGACAGGTTCCTTGCTGGATTTGGTAAACTGCCTTGTAAAATCCAATAGATATTTTTGTTGTTGTAATTGCCTTAATCACTCAAAAGAAATAATATCTTAAAAATTTTTTTTGAGGGAAAAGGGTTCTGTGCTTCTGAATTAAATGATCTCTGACTCATCTCTGAGGTAAATAATTTTTTCTCTCTAACCATCAAGAGCCATCCTAATCATTTTGCTTCTGACATGTTGAACAATAATCTAAGTATGCTCTAACCTTGCAAACATAATCAGTTCTTTCACTTAACCTCTGATCCTATTCACAGGACAGCAAGGTAAGGTGGGAGGAGGAGCCCTGTTTTAATCATTGCGTAAATTTGGGGAGGAAGGGGTCATTGCTGGACATTAGGCTCAGTGAATCTACTACAGAAAATATAAACCAAAACCCACAGTGCTACTGGTCTGTGACATTGTGAAAAGTTCATTTTCTTCACCAGAACAGGAAAACGAATAAAGGAAGACAAAGAAATCCTCACTTCGGACAGTACTGTACTTCCTCTGTGTTTCTCACACTTCTAGCTCTCCTTGCTTTATTTTGGTCTACACTGTTTCTGATTTTCAGTTTTAGGCTATAATTCCCCTGTTTTAGAACTAGTTTGCTGACCAGGACATACTGGACAATTTTATTCAAATTAACTTTATAACTAAAGTGCTAGCAAAAAAGCTGGCATATCCAAATCTTTGGAGATTATATCTATATTATAGATTATATTAATCTATATCAAAATCTATAGATTATATCTATATCGATTTGGATATGTCAGCTTTTTTCCTATATATATATAGTCTATCTATATAGACTGCAGGTTAGATGTGTTTAGTTATCATTAATAAGCTAAAGACTCTGTGAAGGGTGTCTATAAACTATATAGTCACAGTCATTAATTGATCCAGGAAGCATGTGAAAGATAAGAAAAGCAGTTCAGGGGCTCGTACAATGGCATGGCATGCTAATCTTCCACCTGCCAGTGCTGGCATCCCATATGGGCACTAGTGCAAGTCTGACTGCTCCCATCTGATCCAGCCCCATGCTTTTGTGGTCTGGGAAGAAAGCAGATTGTTCAAGTCCTTGGGCCCCTGCACCATGTGCGCGCCGCAGAAGAAACTCCTAGCCCCTGATTGGCTCAGTTCTGAGTGTTGCAGCCTTTTGGGGAGTAAGCCAGTGGGTGTGAGACTTTTCTCTCTCCGTCTTTGTCTTTCCTGCCAGCTGTAAAATCTTCCTTTCAAATAAAAAATACAATTTCAAAAACAAAGAGTAGCAATTTCATTCACTTTAAAATATTATTTTACGTATTGAAAGGCTGGTTTAAAGGAAAGCTAAAGAGATGGTCTGTTCACTGATTCATTGTCTAAATGGCTGCAAGGGTTGGGGCTGAGTCAGGCCATCGCCTGCCACCTTCCCAGGCACATTAGGAGGCAGCTGGATCAGAAGCAAAGCAACCAGGTCTAGAACCAGTGCTTAAGTATGTTCTGTGAGTGATGCAAACAAATGCATAATATGCTATGCCACACAGTCGGAACTTGGAATAGCTTTCAGTGACAATAACATAGCTTTAAAATTAGCATCAATACCTTGCCAAACTTGGCACCCTAGAAAGAATTTCAGTTTATTTAGTCATTCACTGAACATTTGTGAAACATTGTGTGTGCTGACTTAGTCTGCAGCTCTGGCAAGCAGATACTGTAAATACCAACGTGCTTCTCACCCTCGCTAATTTTACTCTTGTGGATTTCTCAGTGTCTACATTTATGGCCTAGAGTTAAGTTTCCCAATCTGGATCTCAGTATCCTTATTTCTAGAAGTGAAAAACTCCATGGCCGTTTATTTTTTTCCACAACTATACTATTGATTTCTGCTGGTCAGTTATTGTTCACTGAGGGCAGGGGGAAAGGCGAAGGATGCATCTCTAAAACTCCAGGTTAGATGTGCGTGGTTATCATTAGTAAGATAAAGGCTCTGTGAAGGGTGTCTTTATTCATGCTTGTAAAACAACTAGGACCAAGTGTGTGGGGACAACAGAAAGATGGACGTAAAACAAAGATGTACAAGGCTAACAAATTTTATCCCCGTAACATTCATTCCTACCTCTAAGGCATGTCAAGGTATCCTATTAAACATCTGCATGTATTGAAAGGGCAGACAGTTACTTTTATTAGTTGATGCTTTGGCAGCTGTTTGACACTTCTTTATAGCATTATACATCGATTTATTTCATTGGCAGAGAACATTTATAAATATCTACGTATCAAATGTGAAGCTGTATGTTCAAATGCATCAAAGTCACCATGGATTTCAGTTAGCCTTTAAAACAACATCACCATGGAGGAAGTAAAATATCTCTATTGAGATAACACTGACAACAAAGAGAATGTTAGTGATTTGCTGTCTTGCATTTGGACTTAGTCCCAATACCACATCCCGGGGTACAGAATAGTTAAGTGGCATATAAAATGCTTATATATACGTAGTAGAAGAAAAAATGTGAAAATGTTAGTCACAGAAATCAAATGTATGGGGGAAATTGGGTTCTAGGTGCAAAAGGCGATGAGCCGAACTTTTCATCTGTTAGTAGGTGCTTTTTAAGAACCAAAAAATCCAACCGAATTGCGTTTTACAAGCAGTGGCAGTTAGAGAAGTCAGTAACCTTTTCCTTTTGGGATCCTGGATAAGGCTTTCATACTCCATTCCTAAAACCACTGCTTGTCACAAAACCTGAAAATGCATCACAACGTGGGAGAGAAAACCACATTACATCTATTTTAAAATGACATAATGCTTGTTCTATTTTGTTTTTATGTGTGTGAAGCCACCAGAAAACATCCCAGACCTATCTTCTGTCTGTCTGTGCTGAGAGGGCATGCAAGAGGCTCTGTCTGTAAAAATGGTTTGCAAGCAGTACTGTTTACATATATCACATTCGGAGAAAAAATCTTAAGGACAAAGTACTGCATTAACTTCTTTTGATTAACACAAATTCTGAATGCTGCTGTATTGTTGTTCTTCAAATCAGATTATGGATGCACCCCTGCTGCTGTCTTGATATGCCCCATCAAACTTCTTCATTTCAGTTTAATTTTTTCCCTTTCCTGCTACATTCTCAGTGTTTAAACCATTCCTAATCTCTCCAAGATCCTCAGTAATTATTAGCTGAGTAATAAAACAATTGAGAAGTTTCTGATGCAAGGGGAGTATGATTGTCTTCTTGGAGCTATGGAATGCATGAATCTATTACATTAATAAAAGGTTTAAAAGCAGCCCAACGAAGTTGAGAGAATTTTCCTGCCTCAGCTGTATGTGCTTTTGTCAGATGCCCCAAACCCTTCAATTAAAACTAAAATGTCATAACATTTTACATTAACTGTGTGGCATAAAATTGTTGCCAAGCATCCTTCAGGGTTTTCTTTGTGGAAACAAGAAGTAGATACAGTCACCTAGACAGTGTTGGGTTAGTAACAGCTGTGTGAGTTTATTCTGAAAGCATTCTTGTTTTTGCTCTATTTCTAGCATAGATAAAACTTTTTGTCCTTTGATTTTTATTCTCCACAAAAGCAGGGATATTTCCTTTTAAAACGGGGCATCTTGGGCCCGGTGCGGTGGCGCAAGTGGTTAAAGGTCCTTGCCTTGCACACCCCGGGATCCCATATGGGCACCGGTTCTAATCCCGGCAGCCCCGCTTCCCTTCCAGCTCCCTGCCTGTGGCCTGGGAAAGCAGTCGAGGACGGCCCAAAGCTTTGGGAACCTGCACCCGTGTGGGAGACCCGCAAGAGGCTCCTGGCTTCGGATCGGCATAGTATCGGCCCGTTGTGCTCACTTGGGGAGTGAATCATGGGACGGAAGATCTTCCTCTCTGTCTCTCCTCTCTGTATATCCGCCTTTCCAATGAAAAAATAATAAAAATAAATCTTAAAAAAAATAAATAAAATGGGGCATCTATTTCACAAGGAGATAGCATACATCATAATTAATCATTTAGTTGTAGGAATAAGAAATTAGGAAGAATAAAGTTCATTTTCTTACTAAGTGATTTGGGCTCATCAATAAGCTGCTAGTATTCCCTTACAAATTGGGGATAATACGCCATTGGAGAGTTTACAAGAATGAAACAACATGTGGAATATAAATAGCAAATTAAACCCAAATGAAACATAATGCCCAGAGCCCACATTACATGCTCTAGTGTAAAACTTCACAGAAACCTCAACTCAAACTTACCAAGAATTGCCAGCACCATGCTGTCTTTCAGAACTTCCATGGAGCCAGAGCATACGAAGTAGATGGCCTGCAATGCATCCCCTTGGCGCAGCAGATACTCCCCTGGGGCGCAGAAGGAGGTTTTGATGTGCAGAGACAGAGACCTAAGGCAACCCCGGCTGGCACACTCGAAAAGGGACAGCTGCAAGATCTCCTTGTTCAGGTGCATGGTGATGTCAGAGCGCAGTTCATCAGGAAAGTCTTTGAGAAGCTGTCGGGGAAGACGAAGGGGCAGGTCATGCTGAGAGAAGTGTAGTCAAAATGATTGGCCTCACAACACAACAGGGATGACAAAGTGGAACGCTGATGGGATTTTTCAGTGATATTTTTTTTTCCTACTGAGTAATCAATTGATAAGTCTGCAGCAATACAACAGATTTATAAAGGACTTTGGAATAAAATAAAAGTAAAACCAAAAGAAAATCTCATTCAGTTGCTTCTCAAACACTCCAACTTGGTACAGAAGATAGGGAACTAGATCTGCCGCTGGGAGGTGATGTGGGGAGCTTGGAGAACTCCTTTGTCAGTTTTGTAGCTCCTTCAGGTGAGCACAAGAACCAAGGCTGGGAGAAGCCTAGACCAAGCCAGGTTACAGTAACAGCTGGCATATGTATGGATCAGTTCTGGGGCAGGACAGGCTGGGCCAGTTCCTAGCACCCATTGGCAGATGTGAGAACCAGAACAGGTCAGGCCACAACACTAGCCAGTTCACATTTGGGCTGGACTAGGGGCAAGTCAGGCCAAGCCAGCCTGTGGCACCCGTTGGTGGATGCCGAAGTGAGATGAGTAATGCCAGGCCTGGGTCGCAGCTCCAAAGAGCATACATAAGACCCGGGGTTGTATGAAGAGAGGAAGGGAGCTATAGGGGCTCACCTGCAGAGTCACTGCTGCTGCTGGCAAGTACAGGGACTGGGGATAAGTCCTGTCAGACTAGACCATAGAACCACCTAGGAAGTGCAAAATCTGGGACTGGGAGTGGGCCCAATAGGAAAACTGGGCACCTATCTGATGGACTGCAACACCCAATGCTGAGCACGAGAACCAGGGCACCCACCAGCATGAGGGTGGGCTGGGCTAGACTGCAGCACCAATTGATGCGTACAAGAATGGGATGTGGGATATACGTACTGGAATGCACAGAAATCGGGCCTCGGGCCAGCATAGTGGAGGTTATCGGGGGTCAGTATAACTCGGCTGCAGTTCCTGTTAGTGTACATAAGAGCAGAGTGTGTGGTGGGCAGGGTTAGGCTGCGCCACAGCATTCATTGGTTTGTGTATGAGATAGGGCAGGGGACAGATCTGACCAAACGACTGCAACTGCCAGTGTATTTTCAGACTGATGTCAGGGTGGATTTTTAAAGAAGATTTATTTTACTTTTTACAAAGTCAGATATACAGAGGAGAGACAGGGGCAGATCTTCCATCCGATGATTCACTCCCCAAGTGACCCACAATGGCCAGTGCTATGCTGATCCGAAGCCAGGAGCCAGGAACTTCTTTCTGGGTCTCCCACATGGGTGCAGGGTCTCAAAGCTTTGGGCCATCCTGGACTGCTTTCCCGGGCCACAAGCAGGGAGCTGGATGGGAAGTGGAGCTGTCGGGATTAGAACCTGCAGCTATATGGGATCCCGGCGCGTTCAAGGCAAGGACCTTAAATGCTACTCTATTGCGCTGGGCCCAGAAAAGATTTTTAGATTTCAATTGTCAACTTCAAAAGACAGATTTACCTTGATTCATCCAAAATTGTACCATTAAACTGGCATTCAAATGATTTACTTTCAAAGGGTACAATAAGATTGGAAATAAATCCACCTGACCTATTTAAGCAGCAGAGTAATGCAAAAATATCATTCAAACCAGAGTATTGTGAAAACAAAGCAAATAAGAAAGATGGACTGGGTTTCCTAGGGGATATAAAAAATAATGAAAAAAAGAAGTTGGTAAAAGTGGCCCCTAGTTCTGATACCTACAGAATGGGTGTCTTCTGCCCCGAAACATCAGTAATAGAAGAATTACCTCGTTTGAATCTATCCCATTGTTGACAGACCAGGTGGTCTGGAAATACTCGAGCATCCTCTGTTTGAGCTGCTGTGGCAGGTGGTGGACACGGATGAAGTCCTTGAGATCCTTCGTTCTGGTGTGGTAGAGAGACCACCTGGAGTACATCCTCTGTATTATGGCTGTCACATTTCCAAACACCAAGGCGTGCATCAGGGCTGTGCAGAACATCACGGCATAGAATGGAAGAGAAATATGAGAGGGGGACTTATAGTTAAACGTAAATGCATAGTCCGAGAAAACAAGGTGAGAATCAAGCCAGGCCTACTTGGCCACAATGATATGGCCGTTTCGGAGTAGTCAGTTTGTTATGGAATACCTCCTAAAGCAGTCATTTGAATTCAACATAACCTGGCCAGAGCCTAAAAAAAAACAGTTTTTTTTAAATACTCAGTAAGGAGGTGGACAGTTAGATTCATATTCCAGCTGCTTGTCAGAATGGTCATGTTCCATCTCCGTGAACCTCAGTTCCAAAATGAGCCCTATTCCTAAGTTTAGTTTTTGTTAATGAGCACGCTGAGAACCTGAAGTGATCAGGACCCTCCACCCATGTGGGGAATCCTGACGGAGCTTGAAGATCCCAGCTGGTCCACTCTAGCCCTGGTCATGAGCATCTGGGAAGTGAACCAGTGGGATGACTTGATCTCTCTCTCTTGTTCTTTTTGTCTCTGTTTTTCAGCCTCTCCGATTAAACTAACAAACTCAGTAATAGGTAAAAATAGGTCCTGTTGGTTCCCATTTAATCTGTTAACTACGATTCTGGCTATAAACATTTAATTGGAATCCTATTCTCGCCTATATTGCTTAAGTAATCATGTGTAATGTATTAGTCATGATAAAATAGCTTCATAGTCTGACAGAATAAGCTACAGTTAGAGCAAAATAACATCATTTTTTTAAAAGGCTATTACAATTGGCTATCCTTTGTCAGAACTTCAGTCTCATCCTACCACAAAAACATTTAAAATGATTAGATATAACACATCTGTATTGATACTATTGAAAAAATTGTTAGCAATGTAATCGAGCAATGTATATCACTAGAATTTTAAGGAAGGCAGTAGAAAATCAGACCATTCCAGAAAAATTGCAGAGAAAAACATTTTGTTTAGGGTCATTGTTGTCCCCCTAACAATATCAACATGCTTCACGCTTAGATGCTCTTATTTTAGTAAAATTTATGAAAGAATATTAAATTCTCATGGGCTCACAGAGATTCCACCTGCAACTGCCAACACATTGTCGTGGATTTACAGCATGGATTTTCTTTTTGGAGAAAATCATGGCAGGAGCATGCACCTCACGCTCCGGAAGTCACCCCCTTTGGGGAGTAGCTGGGCATCTGGAAGTAGAAAATGTGACAGGCTTTTGCAATCAGGAATTACTAGCATAAGGGAGATGAAATGGACTTTGCAGTCTACCAAGAATTCTCCAAAGAAACCCTGGACTCAGTAGTATCATTCCTGAGCGACGTATGAGAATCAAGTGGGCGGATCAACTTTAAGTGATACCAGAATTCAGCCCTGATCCCCATCCTGGGGAAGGATTGGTAATAAGAAAAGGAGCATAGGAATGGGTTCAACAAATCTGTTCCCAGTATTTTTGGTTAAAATAAAGACTAAAAATTTAGGGGTTTGTCTGTATCTATTAAAATATCCCTGTATCAAAATCTTGATGACAAAGGAGAAAGTTCAGAGGTTACTAGCATGAAAATCAGTACGTTACTACAAACACATTATTAGATCTGAATTCTTTGAAACACTCCCAGAGTAACTCCGTCCTCCCCTGACCTTTAACTAAAACTACCAACCACTGACATGCTTATTTTATTCTAATTTAACAACAAAATTCTTTTCAGGGTTTGTATAGTATTATCTTGTATGGAATTGTTGCCAGTTGGCCTGAAAATTTCTTTTTAGTTTTTTTAAAATTTATTTATTCTAAAAGTATACAGATAGAGAGGTACACATGGAGATTTTTTTTCATTTTGCTGTTGCATTCTCCATGTGGCCACAACAGCCAGCGATGTGCTAGGCAAAATCCAGAAACTAGGAGAATCATCCGGGTATCCCACATGGGTGACAGTGGTCCAAACATCTGGGTCATCTTGGATTGCATTATCAAGCAGCTGGATTGGAGGTTGGCATCTGTGATGCAGTCTGGCCACACGCCAGCACTGGCTCATAAAGACGTTTCGTCATCACAGACTTTATGCAAACAAGGCTAGGCAGGTCTACCTGTAGGAGCCAGAGATATTACAGAGAAAATATGTCTTTCAGACAGACCTGTATGTGAATATTTGATTTGCCATTTCCTAATTGTGTGAATTCGGTAACTTACATAGTTCCCCGGCTCGGACACATTTTCTTTATATGTTAAGGAACAGTAAGTTATGGTACCTTGCTGACAAGGTTATGTGGAGACTTAGATATATATATATAATGTGTGTGTACATAGTATAGAACATATAATAAATAGATATGTAATATACATTTCAAAAAGTGCTCAGTATATGTATGAAAACTTGGTTCATGTTTTGGCTCAATTCATGTTATTTTTCCACATTAGAGTGTAAAGTGCTGTAATGAATGGTGAGCAAGCAAATGGAGAGTGTGACCCAGATTTAAGATTTTCCTGCAATCTTTTTGTTTTCCTAATTTTTTATAGTACATTTGTCTTATCATTTTATGACAAAGTTCCATAGGTCAATCTTTTGAATAGATATGAGTGCTTTTGGTGGAAATCATTTCCCAATGAAAGAAATTAAAAAAAAAATGGCTATTAAGTCCTTGCAACAATGTCTTGCTTCTAAATGATTAAGAGTGAAATGCTTTCAACAGGTAAAAAAGCAAATTCCCTAGAAAATGGTATATCATATAGCAATTTTATATTGAATACTTTGTTTTAGATTCTAAACAGGTGTTTATTCTTTTGTGTAGATTTAATGTCACAATTTTAATGCCAAAATATTTTAATGTCACAAATATTTTAATTGGAAGCTTTCTATTGATGATAAATACTCATCAAATAAAAGAGCTGATTTTGTTCCAATCAGAAAAATTATATCCTGAGTCCATGCTCTGCTAACACGCTCATGGGGTGTTTCAGAGCCCTTCCATCATGATTGATATGTAATAGGTTTTTTTAATGGAGATTAAATTGGTTACAGAGAACACTTTTATTGCATTTAATAGTGCTCTCCTTTAATTACGTGTATGATTTTAACTTTGCTTTCCTTAATTATAATGTGTAAAGCACTTAAAGTAAGAGAAGTTAACTTCTTCAGATCATTTAGCGTGCTAATTGTACATTATCAATAAAATGAATTACTGGATTAATTATAGCATTCACAACTATTGTTGGAAAGTACCAGCCTACAAATGGTCATTATAATTTCGAAGTCTCATGGCATAGGAAATTACTTCTAATTTAAAGAGTCAAAAAAGAAAAACTCTGTGCTCATTGTTTTTCCCAAAGTCATTCCTCTCTCTCACCAGTTGCCATCTCATCCTGGTAGAGCATGTGAGACTGTCAGACCAAATCGTTCCGTGTGTTAGGAAAGTTTGACTCAAGAATTTCTATATCCAGGTCAGTTTTGAAACTATAACTCCCTGTTCCTTTACTCCTTGCAAATCTGATGTATGAAATTCCTTAGTGCTAGAACTTCTGAGTGTGTGGGAGGCTCTTTATGCGGGAGTTTTGCATAAAATGTATTTTATAAAATCCCATCTCAGTATCAGGTCTTTGAAGAAATCTCAACATTTGGGAAGAAATTAAATAAAAGGCAACTGAAGGAAGCACTTCTATAAGATTGCTAGGTTTTCTCTTCTTTCCCCTGCATTTTTCATTTCTCCTTTCCTTTCCCTTTTTATTTCTCCTTTGAATTTTAGGCAAAACTTTTTCCCTGGGCAATTTGGGTGACTACCTATTTCTCTGCTGAACTATTCCGCAGTGACTTGGAAGTCTTCATATATTCTCTTTTCATCTGATAAGAAAAGGACATCACAGTGGATGTTTTGTGGAATCTTAACTGCACTCCTCTCTCCCACCACCTCACTGCCTTGCAATTTTCCACTTTCCGTTACATTTATGTCAGGTTTTTGATGACAGAGAAAAAAGAATGAGAAAGATTTCCTAAATGATGCATTTAAATGGTAGTACAAAAACAATTTAAGAACAGCTGAGTTTGTGAACATCATAGCTCATTTGGGTCCAATAGAAATATGAAACTGCCTCCAAAGGATCTGGCACACGGTAGCTCTTCAGCAAATGAGCATTTCTATTCGCTACTGCTTTACAACTCGCCAAGAGGCTGCTAACATTGCTCGAATCCCAGCATGCTATCTGAGGAAGTCGGCTTTCCAAGAGCTCCTCCAGGCCCTCGTCTCCCTCTGCTCTTGAACTTCCTGGTTTGGCACATAGCCTTTTTGTGGCTTGGTGTTGTTAAAACTCATCCCACACATTTGAGCCAATCTAGACTGTCAGCCAATCTTGATGGAAGATTTGATTTTACACTTTGAGTTCACCATTTGTGCTGGGGGATCAGTTGCTTGAAGTCCTTCATGCTACTCCTAGTATATCTTCCTTGAAGAAGCCAGTAGGGACCCTTCTCTTTTATGAGGTTCAACCTAAGAGGTGTCTGAATTAAAGCCATTAATGCAACATGATCAAATGGGCTTTCGGCCAAATACTGTAGGGCAGAAAACACTGATAGAATTCTGGCCTAAGAAGAACATTTACTTGATTCAGGTGGACTTCCACATCTGTCTTTTCATGACAATGTTCTTCTAACATAATAATTATAGCATACTGTATCTCCCTTTTTGTACTTAAAGAGGGAAATAAATATTCATCTGGATCCAAACTTGGCCTCTTTGGTTCACCAGTTACATGGCATTGCGAAAGGGTAGATTATAGTAGCATGAATCCCATACCAATTAGAAAGTTCAGAATGGAGGCATTTACTCTTTTACTAAATATTGCAAGAGAAGGAATGTTTTCTTTAGAGAATTGAGTTCACTAGTTTTAAAAGACTGAACAAACAGGAGTATGGAAAATGTATCAGAAGCCCAGAGGAAGAACTTTGAGGAACCTGAAGAAGCCATGGCTTGGGACATGGTGACACTCCCAGCTGACAAAGGGATTTCTGATGAGGGACCCCCAAGGCCTTTTTGAGAGTTCCTGGATCTGACAACACCTGCTGTTTGCTAGGGCAGTGAGAGGACAGCGGGAAGTCTCCACATCCTGTACCTTCTAGTCTCTAGCTCCCACTACTGGGAGTACAAGTGACTTAAGTCCTCTGGTAATAGCTCACTGAATCCAAATTCATTGATAGTCTACTTTTTAGAATATCAAAGAGTGGATCTGGAACTGAAAGGAAATAGTAAATTAATTTGTCTGATAGAATAGTAAGAGTGTCAGCCCCACGGGCTTGCTTTAATACTTAAGGTGCTTTATTATTGTGATTAGCACGGAGAATGGAACAGAAACAAAACTGAAAAATGTTACCTACTTATCATGTTTTTCAAGTTTTGCTTTTTACCAAATGTTCAAACATCTTTTATTTAGTATGTTAGTATACTATATGACACAGATCTCTTTGGTACTGTGAAAATGGGTTTTAAACATATCTGTGGTCCAGAGCTAAAAAAAAAAAAAAAATACAAGAGGAAAACAAAGTCCGTTCTCTTTCACAATCAGTTACCGGCCAAACAGCTGCTGATTGATGGACTCAGAAAACTGTCAATATCTGAGTTCGATTGCAATATATACGTATATCTAAATGCTTGTTACTTAAGTCTTAACTAGTGCCTTTAAGACTGCTCAGTGTAACCCAAATGATCTCTTTTGAGTTGAGAACAAAACAGCGCCGTTTTGGCAGACACATGTTGCTCTCGGATTCTCTTACCGCCGATCAGCATGGTGCAGATGGAGAAGATCTTCTCGGCATCTGTGTTGGCAGAGACGTTGCCAAAGCCGACGCTGGTGAGGCTGCTGAGGGTGAAGTACAGAGCAGCGATGTAGGCGCTCCGGATAGACGGGCCCCCCAAAGTGTTGTTCCCGTAGTAAGGAGATTCCAGTCTCTTTCCCAACTCGTGGAGCCAACCTGAAAGGGAGAGAGGAATGCAAACCTCAGAGGAAAGCATCAAGTCCCGAGATCAACACGTGTGTTAAGTGAACGTGGAGGGGCATGTCAGAATTTCTTCAAAGTTAAAACGAAAGGCAAGAAATTCAGTGTCACTGCTCTAAAAACAAAAGTATCAAAACCTTGTTGTTGGTAATAAACACGACAGGAAAAATATGCCTTTTAGAGTAGATTACTGGTCAAACTAAATAGGACAAATATTGAAAAAAATAACTACAGGTATTGAAGTAAAGATCAAAACTCTTCCATTACAGGCTTGTATGTACCTATAGCCCTGTTAAATCTAAATTATTTGCATAAAAGCTTAATCTAAGAATTAGCACATTGTACTTTATTGTGGCTTTCTCTCCTATCTCTCACTTAACAGCCTAGATTAGGGGGCCAGCACTGTGGCTAAATGGGCTAATCCTCCACATCCAAGAGCCTGCATCCCATATGGGCGCTGGTTCATGTCCTGCTGCTCCACTTCCAATCCATCTCTCAGCTTAGTGGCCTGGAAAAGCAGCAGACGAAGGCCTAGGTCCTTGTTTTGCTGCACCTGTGTGTGGAAGACCTAGCGGAGGCTCCCAGGTCCTGGCTTCAGTTTGGCTCAGCTCTGGCTGTTGCAGTCATCGGGGTAAGCGAACCAGTGGATAGCAGATCTTCCTCCCTCTGTCTCCCCTCTCTGTAAAGCTGCCTTTCCAATAAAAATAAATTCTCAAAACCAAAAACCTCTAGAGCAAAATTGTTTAATGTGTATCTTTGGACCACACACAAAAAGAGAATGGCTGTTGGAAGCTGAACAACACCTGAAAATGTAAACATGATCTTTATTTGATTGAAATGTAAGGAAACAGGGGTTAACTAGATGTTTTAAACTTCTACAGGAAGATTAAAAACAAGAATCTGGACTTCAGATAGGCGAGACGGGCCATCTAAATAGACTAGTGGAATCAATATATTCAATTAGGCTGACAATCAAGTTGTCTTTTCATGTCTCAATTTATATTTCTTTATGAGCTTTAGAAGCTTTCTCTGCCACCTGTTTCTGCTTTCATGGGTGTGTGTGTGTATGTGCAAGGAGAGCAAGCTACATAGGTAATACATGCCTATAGTGGACCTGGATGACTCCTGAACTGTCTTTAGTTACCGGCGTATCTATGTGGCAAAATGTACCAAGTTACATGTGTTAAATATGTATAGTTTTTTGTATGTTGATTTTCCTGTCAAAAAGCTATAAAAAGCTGTACTGATAAAGATGGCAGAATAAGAAAAAAAGAATTAGCAGTAATAGCATGATCTACAATGGGAACATAGCACAAAGGTCACTTCATAATCCTTTACAGGGAATATTTTTCTCCCCTTGATGTCTTATCGTTAGATGTTTGGTCATTTTCTTTCTGTGTAACTTTTACACGAATTCTATTAAGTTATGTTAATTCACAGGTCGTTTCTTTTCTGTAAACATCTAGCTTATGACTGACCAAGAAGAAATGGAAACTATTACGCTTTTGAAGCAGTAGTAAAACATTCAGGTTTTATATGGTGGGACTGTGCTAGAAAGTAAGAATGCAAATTTAAAACAGAAATTCGCTGAGAACAGGAAGAAAGGTTTCATGACAGGTGCAGTCCCAGATTCTTCCTGGGCCTCTGGAGAAGTGTCCTGAACCAGTTTGTGCTGGAAACGCTTTGAGAGCTGTCAGAGATCAGTTCCCGTAGCCAGGGCATTTTTGATTTAATACATGTGGAGCCTAGAGACAGGGCTGTGTTTCTAACAGGTGTCCAGGTGCTACACATGCTGCTGAGTCACACACTGACAAGCTACTGCGCTAGAACAATGATTCAAAGTTGGTGTCACTGTGAAAGTTTACAAAAAATACATTACCCAGGTTCCTCTCCATGAACTAAATGAGGATTTCTGGAACCACTTGCAGGTATTGGTAAATTTTTAAAGTTCCCAAGTAGAATCTAAAGGGAAGGTGGAGACTTAGACACACAGTATTCTGGAACTTAATAAAACATCTGGCAATGGCAGGATTTAGTAATGGCAGGCTAAAAGCTGAACATTAATGAATGCAAGCATAGTTCCTGTGTGATGGCAAGATAGAGAAATGATGCAGATAGAGCAACAAATGTGCATTTATAATTTGTATTGGATTTATACACAAAGTGCAGGACAGTGTCTCTTGATGGCAGAGAATAGTAATTCCATGTAGAGGTTACAGGTTATGAAAAGCAATGCTGTTTATAAGTTGTGGGAATTCATCAAGGAATGAACTTTAGATTCAAAATAGATATCAGTCTGGACTGTGTTACAGATAAACAGTGGGAATAACCTGTGTTCTTCAGTTTTCTCATTGGCAACAGCAGGCATGCTGTCTAACCTGTCGCACTGCCTTGAATTAGATGCCGCATGAAGAAAATGTCAACCACTATTTTTGGCAGAGGTTTTTAGGAAATTATGTTTCTTCTTCCTCTTCCTTCTGTTTCCTTTGTAAGAATGTAGAAGCCGCACAATTAAAGATAAAGTGTGAAGGCAGCAGTGGACTCTAAAAGACTAAAGAAGGTAGAGATATAATGTATGTGATGGGATCCAGGAGTGGCACTGGGGATGCAACTTGGTATTTCCTAGTGCTTAAAAATTCACACGTTTGTGAATCTGAAAAAAAGATACAGATCCTGCTTTGAGAACAATGTTTATGTGGAGAATCACATGAGATCTCCTATACATTGTCAGGTGACTCACAGCTTCCTGCAGCCATTTCACTTCCTTGTGGTCCAAGAACACAGTTCAAAATGTTCTGCTTTAGAATTTTAAGGGGGGGGGGGGAGAGGAGCAGTGTTAAAACATGATGTGGCAAAGCCTAGACTAATCTTTTATGGAAACATGTTAGAAATAAAGACAACAAATCCAAAAGTGGGGTTGAGAGCGATCCAGAAAGGCAGATCAAAAATATCATTATAAAACATCATTGATGTATTTTTTTGCCTTATGGAAGAGTTAGGATGCAGTGGGAAAATCGGGAAGCAAAATGACAACTGAGTTTATCATCGTGTTCAGGATGGAGCATTCTGCAAAGCAGTGCTCTTGTGGGAATGGGCCTAAAGCTCTTGGAGCGTGGACAACAGTGGGGTGTTGAATGACTGCTGTGCTGGCTCTTTGTCAGGCATCCTCCAGGCTGCGCTCCAAAACTGGTTTCACATCATCTCTGCTAGATGAGGAAGATAGAGGAGGCTTCTCCCCATTCCATTCCTTTTCCCCCATAGTTGCCATTCTTGATAATTATAGATAAGTCCCCATAATTGAAAAATGTCAATTTGCCTAAGCTGTAAATATTACTTGATCTCCTTTTTCTTTTAGTGAATGTTTGGGACGATGTGAGGGGTCAGAGTCTTACAGGAAAGCTACTGTTTGCTCTCAGCTGAATGAGCTATACAACCACACCATCAAAAATGCTATAGACTCCTTCTGTTGACTAATGGAACTGAGGTATCCATTTATTTATGGATTCTGAAGTTTTCTCAAAAAGAGAGCTAGCCAGGATGTTGGCTTCAATATAAACACAAGTGCAGCTTAGAAGTATTCTCTGCATGGAATCATTTCCACATAATTTGATTCCCTTAATAAGTTGGGATGAAGGTTTCTCTGAGGACATAATACCTGCACATATTTAAGCTTGTGTCTCAGGACTGGTAACAGGAGCAGACACAGATTCACAACAGACCTACTTTTGTTGATACTGTACTTCACTTCTGTCTAGCCAAATGTTCTGTCTATTCTGAGCTACATCTTGCCTTTTAAAAAAGTATTGCTGCTAAACTGTATTCCTGCTGACAGAGCAGAAACCATCATGAAAACGGAGAGAAATACTAACATGGAGAGAAGGTAACACCCACAAACCTGGGAATGGCTGTGTGGCTAAATAAAATTTTCACAGAACAGCCTGAAATGAGAGCACATGTTCCACTGGCATAAGGCAACATGTCACTGTATTGTACAGAAGAAGCAATTTAACCAATTTGTTACCCAATCTCTTTTTTTATGCCAGAAACTGGTATCTCTAAAGGAAGGAGTGTCCTAGCACAATCCAACTGCTTCAGCTCATGTTTCCTCCCAAGAACATTTTTAAGGAGAAAGAATACACACCAGAGACTTTTAAATATCCCCCCAAACTCCATTGTTATTTAATAAAACCGAAAAATATCATTGCATAACTTGACCTTTACTAAAATAGATTAAATGTACAGAAAAGATTGGTGATTTAAATATGCTATTAGATTTCAAAGGTAGAATAACTGTTAATGATCATATGAATAAAAGCCTATAATTAGCAGGGTAATCCAATCTATGTCTTTTTCTTGACATTATGCACCAAATATTTTGCATAAATGCATACTTTTAACTCTTAACAGTTATTACTCTTTGTTTCCTAAGCAATATACTCAAGTCTATCATTTATATCTAAGCATATTCACAATTTGTAGAAGTGCGGCCTATTGTTTATAACAGATATGTTCCTGAAAAGCTTGGTTTATATTAGTATTTGACAAATGTAACTGATACGTTAGGCTAGGGACATGTTATTTAAGGGAAACCCATGATGAATAATTTATATCATAAAATATTTAAACACCATTTAAAACAGTAAAATATGCTTGTTAACTCAGATTTAGATGTGTGCTTAAACGTGAGTATGTAGATGATGGAAAGCAAACAAAGAAGTATTTGATCAAACCTGTTACACAAAGTGGCGTTCCACTGTATTTCTTATGAATAACTCCTGTTGTAATGAGAGTTAGCTTAGACACAAGAAGGGAACCCACCCGTATGATGCTTTCCAGGCTGCTGGGTAGCACCTGGTGTTACTTTATGTTCCTTCTGTTTGCCACAGCCTACCAGGTGCGCTTTTGAGCACAGTGCATGTCCTCATCCTATAGAATGCATTTAATTATTGTCTGTATTTTGATTTGCTGTTCCAGTA